ATATATATATATATATATATATTCTCTAATTATTAAAAGAAGAAATATATTATTTTTACATGTAAATATGATTGGGATATATGTATATATAATTAAAATTTAAGTATTAGATATATAATAATATAAGAATTGAGTGATATGTGTTTTACTTTTTTTATGCATAATTTCTTCCATCATAATTGCTCCACACTGAATATTCCCTCTTCGGTGGCGAAACAACCCGTTTCAACGCCTGCACCTTCCCTCGATTTTGCGAATAAAAAATTCCGGTCATATGTAATACACGAGCGGCTAGTTAAGACAAGCCCAACAGATTAACATATTCGACTCATATCATTAAAAAATTTTTTTTGGCATACTTTTGTGATGTGGACTTGGGGAGATAATGTGAATAAGGTTATAAGAAAATTACCGTGGAATAAACGGCATCTGAGCTTATTCTTAAAATTGGATCGTTCATAAGAGTGAAATCCAGCGCCATTATTTAAATGTTAAGGATTTGTGTGTGAACAATTTTATTTTTTTAAAAAAATATATTTTTTATTATATTTTTTATATGTTCTTTTTTTTTTGTCCTCAAAACGAATTATACTATTTTTTAAGATATTTGGGATTTTTAAAAACAATCACACTAATTGAATATGTTCAATATATTTTGTGAGAAATTAAAATATAAATAAAAAAAATAAAAATGTAGGGCCCTCTCGGACCCAAAAATTAACTTTTTTAGGGCCGTCTCGGATTTTATTTAAGTTTCAATTTAAATCAATTAAGCTAGTTTTTTTTTAATGAAAATGATTATTCATTTTAAGTAACAACATTAAGTAAGTTTACATCTTGAGAAGATAATTAGACAGATGCAATGCACAATAAGATATGCTAAAACAAAAACTGCTCTGCAACAGTTCAACAAGAAAAAAATCAAGACTCTGACTAATCAGAACCATGCAAATTGGCCATCCAAAATGGAACCAAATTCAATCAGACACGAGCACAAATAGCAACACTTAGAGCCTCTGCTTTTCATGTTATTTTTGCATTTGAGAAGTCCATTTCAGGATGCTCAGCCATGAACTTTTTAAGAATTTCTTGCTTCTGCAACTCCTCGCTAGTTGGAAGACCCATTGATTTCTGTCGCTGATCAAACATCATCTTTTCCACTGTTTGACGTGTTTCAGGATCCAGATCTGATAGTTTACTGTTTTCAGGCTCTACTTTCTGAGTATCGATTTCAGGTTCACCTTTTGTTACACACTTCCACCATTCCATTTGATTTTGTTTAGTAAGAAGTATGGATATGACTTCCTGATCCTCAATGCTCCAGTAGCAATCATCAACTTTGACAGATTGAAAAACGTCACTAACTTACATCAATAATTGCAGGCTGTCCCTTGAGCCCAACCTTCAAGTGGTTCTTCTTTATTTCGCAGATCACAAATCTAGACTTTGTGCCTCGAGAAACTTTGATGTTAACGTTAACCTCTTTAAGTGTCTGGGTCCAACTATACTTCTTTAGGTCGAGAGCATTTCCAGTGTTTGGTTTGTTAACAGTCCCGGCTTCCTTGTCGTCTCCTCCGTAACTTGCCCTTGCTTCTTTGGCGTGCTCTCCTTCGCCTCGTCTACGTCCATCTTCTCGATGAACTTTTCTATGACCTCACCCTTGACTATGCCTGCTAAGTTATAAGGCAATGGCTCCTTGTCCATTTTTTTTTCTTAGCCGTCTGCTCGACAACTTCTTTTTGTCTGGCAGCAGAGAGCACCTCCGTGAGTTTGCTCACCGATGATTCGGACATGAAGACATCAGACCGACGGCGAAGAAGATCGACGACAGTCTCGAATAAGGGGATGGGTCCCTTCCTCTTTAGGATCTGAAGAAGGGCCTCCTCGTTCGCATCAGGGATCCAAGTCGATGAAGAAGCTGGCGTCTGCTTTTCTTCTTCCTCGAAGTCGGAGATTACAGCCATGACGACGGAGCAAAGCAGATTATGCAAAATGCAGGGCTATGTTTCTTTCAAATGAGGAGAAAAGCGGTGGGGATGAAGTCCAATCAATTAAGCTAGTTGTTTTCTTAAGAAAATCCCTCATATTTTGATTTTTTTAAAATATAAGTTAATTTATTTTATATTTTTAAAAATATTTAAAAAATATATCAAACAAACATATTTATAAATATAAACAAAAATGACGTCAGACGACACCTTAATGCGCTTTTTCTTTGCTTTAAATTTTAATATTTGATAAATTTCCTTTAAATTTTTAAATAAGAAAGAATTGCATACATACCACTCACTTTTTATATATTTACATATGTAACCCATAAATTTAAATTTTTACATAAATGTCGGGTTACCTATAAAACAGCGAATTTTCTTATGTGCTGCGAAAGATTTAGATAGGGGTGTAAACGAACCGAACAAGAACGAACAGAGCTTGTGTTTGTGTTCGGTTCGTTTGAAATTTAGTTTGTTTGAAATAAGCTCGTGTTTGAAATTGTTCGTGAAGTCAATGTTCGTGTTCGTTTCTTAACGAACAAGCCGAACACGAGCTGTTCGCGAACAATGAGCCAGTTTGACATCCCTAATATTAATATATATAAATAATATATTATATTAATTATATACATTATATTATATAAATGTATAATGTCTATATTAGTATATTACTAATATAGTATATTAATATATTAATATTATTAATTTATTTTATATTATAATTTATAAAATTGAATTTTTTCAAATATCGTTAATTTTTTATATATAATTATTTTAAATTATTTTATATTTCGAACAATAAAGACTCGAACACGAAAGAACGCATCACTGTTTGTGTTTGGTTCGTTAAACTAATCGAACGAAAAAAATTTGTTCATGTTCGTCTCGTTTATTTATTGAATGAATCGAACACAAACTCATTGACGAACCGAACACGAACTGTTCGCGAACAACAAGCTTTTTTGACAGCCCTAGGTTTAGATGGTATAAGTGTAAAAAGTCAGGCTTAGGTGTTAGATTAATAATGCATAGTAATTGGCTGCGGTACATATGTAAATGCCCCTTTAAATAAATAAAATTAAAAATTATAAAATCTCATTTTTCATGGGATTAATGAATTTAAGAAATATTCCTCCAACAAACTTTAAAACTTGAAGCGAATTATATTAATTTAATAAGAAACATATTATTTGAAAGTTGGCTTGATCAAGCATGACAATTGATGAAATGTTTAAATTTAAAAAAATTTAGAATTAAATTAAGAATCATCCAAACTATACTTTAGCAATTTTCTAATTGAAGTAAATATCATAATGAGATGAATATAATAAAACCAAATTTTGTCCAATTTATGTTTAAATAGGCCCAAATCAAGGGCTTAAAGTACTACCGTAAATTTACATATATTGATTGAAGGGTTAAATGATGTTTGAATCTTATGTAAATTTACATATATTGATTGAAGGGTTAAATGATGTTTGAATCTTATATTCTTACGATTGTTTCCGGAGTCTTGATGATATGAATCAAATAAGCTTAAACATTACTAAATCTCGACATCACTAAGACATTTAAATGTTGAATGGATAACTTATGATCAAATGAATTAGTATAGAATGATTGACTGGGTATGTAGCTTTGACAAAAATACTAAAATGTCACTCTAAAAAATTATAAATAGACTCGGTCTTCACATGAAAAGGGTCCTAGAGCTGAAATTAGAGCAAGTTTATATATGTAAAATAATTTAGAGAATAATCGACATAAACAGTTAACACAATCATTTAATCGATACCACTTGACCATCATTTTTTTGAATGCCATCCTCAAACTATCATCTCCCAATTAGTCTTCTATCCACCACCACATGATTGTCATCACCCTACCACAATCTTTCAACCATTGTGATATGACAATTGTCTCCTGAGCATGTTGTTTAGCTATTACAACTGATGTCATTTCTTTAATATCATTGTTACCCCCACTATTTATATAATATCTTTTAAGTTTTGGGAAAGAGCAAGTTTTTATGAACATATATATACATTATGCCATTTCATTTGGGTTAAATCTTGTAAAAAAATTTTTAAATTTTTTTTTTCAAGTTCATGTATGTGCACCAATATTTTTTATAAAACTAAGACATTAATCCCTCACTATATAATAGTGAATATTCTAACACATAATAATTTGATATAGCTCGTGAAAACATCGCTAATGTTGTATACCAAAAAAATTGTGGCAATAGAGTAATAATTTAACATCTCAACATTGTATAAAATTTCATTAAGCACACAGATAATGAAAATGTAACAAGAGAAAATACCAAGAATTTTTTTTTGTGAAAAATCTGAAAAGAAAAAAACATTGGGGTCTAGCCCTGTTAAAATGATTCACTATCAATTTGTAGGTACAAAATTAGACTTTTATCCCACTACTTGGCAAATATCACTATGATACATCAAATACAATGTTTGTCTATACACAGTATACAAAAAAGATTCGTTTTATTTTGAATGCAATATTCAAGAGCGTTTTCCATCGACAATTATCACTTGGCCTTTAATCCACCATATTCAATGAACAATATTGAATAATATTTAAGATACCTTGTTACTCAACATAATCCACAAACTATGACAAAGCTGGGGCAGCCGATGGTGGTCGATGGCGGGCAATAGGTGGTGGTCGACAATGGTCATTGACCGTGGAGGTTGGAAGTTATCTCCAAGCCTTCAGTCCAAACAAAACTGGAAACCAGCTTATTCTCTCCATCTCCTTCTCCTGCTCTCAAGTAAAGAGATGGGGTCAATTTATTGGTTCCATGAGTGGTGCATTTTGGTCATTTGAAGAATAACCACCATACCACTCGATCGAAAGACCCTTGTTGCTTCCCCGTGATTATAAGAGTCTTTTTGATGCTTCGATGACCTTGATGGCCTTAATGAACACAAAATTAAGGGTGCTCAGACCATCGAAGTATTTTAATCAAGACACTCAATTTGACTAAAGGCGTGTCAAAATTGAAGTTTATATGACATTTTAATTGACTACCCAAAGCCTCTGAATGTGGTTTAATAGCTTAGTATGGGCTTGATTGGAAATTGGATCAATTTTGATATCATTGGGTTCGTCTCATCAACCTGGTCCTTTTGATTGTAAGTCTGCTAAAAGCAGAGTTCTAGATATTTTTAATTTCAATAGGAATGAATTTTTCTTAAAAAAAAAATATTAAAATCTATGCCAAATGCCTTGAGATTCAAGCAAGATGATAAATTATGTTGATGACACATCAATTTGTATTATGCAAATACTTCTTCAATGCCTGACAATTTGGACCATTTTATTCTAGTTAGTGATAAACATCCAAACCTAACTTTGAAAACCTTTTGTATAGGAAAATTAGCATTAAGTTGATATTTAAACCCTTCAGTTTTTAAAGGATACTAAATAATATGGGCATTATCATAGCGTGATTGAGCTCTCATACTATCAATTAATAACAAGCTTTGGCTGATTAATTTAATGCTACCCATATAATTCTGTCTTGTCACTATGCTCTTACACCTTGATATTTTTATCAAGATTCCCTTGATAGTGCTAGTTTTAACCCAATGAGCTTGAGCTCCTTATCACATTCTTCCTTCTCTAATTGCTCCACATCTCATTAAAATTATTTCAAGAACCAAGTTATAGCCTCTATATTATAGAAGTAACTAGATATTTAGACACCATTTGAGACAGCTTTTTGGCTACGGTGTGGTCTGAGAATACCAATTGATGTGTTTAGTTTATGAGGCATCAGTGCATTTAATTAAATGCACTCTTATTTTTACGCTGTTGTCGCTCACCCACATTCCATATTTTATTTATATAGAAATTATATTGATGCCCCTAGCCTTGCTATTTAGAGCAATCAAATTTGTCATTTTCCATACGTTGCCTAGGACTTTTTTTTCCTTAGATTTTCTTTGGCCTGTGGTAACCATGGCAAAAGGTTAATTGGTGGCTTTTTCTTCCTTTGTTTTTTTTTTATTCTTCGGTATCTTCCATCCTTAAACTTTGTTTAATGGATTTGTTCTTTATGTGTTGTGGTATTTGTCTCGTTGGCTTTGTTCATTATAGTTTTGTGGTCACTTATCTATTTCTTAATTGAAGGATTTTTGGCATGAACGTACTGCAATGCTGTTTGATGAAAGAAAGAACGTAATTCATAAGTTTACACAACCACTCATTTGCTTTTGATTCGTTTTTTTTTCTGAAATTGTTTGGAAAAGTTTGGAAAATAGAAAGCTCGATTCATGATTTATTCTTTGGACGGCCTTCATCCTCTAGTACTTTAAGTATTTGAATTTTTTTAATTGGTTTGAACCTATGTGCAATGCTGTTTTATGAACAAAAGAATCTAATTTAGGGGTTTGCACAATCACCCATTTATTTTTGATTCATTTTTACTATGAAATTGTTTGGAAAATTTTGAAAATAGAGAGTTCGATTGATGGTGTATTTAGGTCTTTGTCCACCAGTATCTTATATCTTCAATTTTTTTTATGTGCCTCCTTTTGACTTTTTTATTATTTATATATGTGCTAGATTTCATATAACTGCCATATTAAATTTCACCCAATTATGGTGAATTTTCTGCAGGCCACAACTTTGATCACAGCTGCAGATGATCCTAGCACAAAATTTTCCCCATATATTCTAAAAGATCAAGCACGAGACTGTAAAAGTTGTTGAAGCGATCGCATCTAATAAACTTCGACCGTGTGCGGCAAAAACAGGCGAGTTGTTGGAAAGATAAACCTCCAACCTTCATAGAAGTCAAAGTTCGTGGCTTTGCGTCACGATCCGTCGATCAACCTTCTAAGTTATTGACTTTCTCCCTCCCCCTGCCCTAAGCGTTCGGTGGCTCATCCGCTGCATCCGGCAACTTACTTCGCAGATCGCTGTATTGAGGTAAGCTTCGCCAATCTACCTTCCCCGCCTCTAGAAGAGCAGCCGGATCTGCTGCGTATCGGCTAGGTCTGATACCAGGCTTATCATTGAGGGCCACGGACATCGCTGTCCACTTAACCTAAGCATTTACTCTCATGCGTTTTACTCTATTGGAAGTTTCGGAAGTATTGATTAGATGTTGCGTTAAGACATTCCAAAATGTGATGAGATAGATCTAAAATGCGTTATGTTGTGTTAGGTTCAAGGTTTGCCCTGGGAATACCAAAATTTTACCGAGAAATGAATCAAGCTTGTTGAACAAGTAAGATATAGAAGCAGATGCTAGGTCTAGAAGATTCTTGTAGATTAATTGGTCTAGACTGAATCCAATCGAACCCCCTTGAAATGAGAATGGATGGTCAAACCGTGCTATTGAGTAGCACTTCAAAGGGGGAGATTCTGCAGAGAATTCGGGAGAAATTCCTGTATGTCATGTGGTTCAATATGTTTTAAGGTTTTGATTGCATAATTGCTACATAGTACAATTACATAGGGATGTAAAATTTGGATTCAGTGAAGCTAGATGTGTGATGGTTGAGCTTGACTTGTAGTTGGCTGCTAGTCATGAGAACTTTGGGTGGTTCTTAATTGAGGGCGAGCTTTTTTAGTGATCTTCTAGCATGATTCCCTAGTGAGCTTGCGAGTATTCTGGGCTAGTGGTTGAGCTCTTTTTGGTGACTGCACTTGATTGATAGGTGACTTCGTGAATCCTTTGGATGAGTTTAATATTGTAGTGTTGAGGCCTAGTTAGAGCTAACTTTTGGGCAAATTGATGAGATTTGGTTTTGTGCAACTCAAGGTCTTCAGAGGCTTGGGCTTGGTGGGTTCAAACTTGTAGGCTATCAAAGCCAGTGCAACGATTTACTGAATGCGGTTTAAAATCTTTTAATAACTTGATTAATTTGTCTCGAGCAAATATGATTGTACACATAGGGTACATAATTTTTTCGCTCAACATACTCAATCGTGCATTCATACTATTTGTTTAAATTTTCTTGTAATATTTAGTATGAGGTGTAATTAATGAATCACTTGTGAAATGTTGGATCCTAACATGTTAACACCAATTAACTTGTTCCATTCTCAATCCCTAAGTTTGGCACTTATTCTTAGATGTTGATGATGGTAGGTACACAAATATACATGTTTTGTGGGATTGTAGATGGTCTTGCCATGTACCTATTTGTCCTTACATATTGCAAAGAATTGAGAGTGAACTTTACAGCTTTTATTTGTTGAGGGTCTTTTTTTTGTTCCAATGTTTGGGTCAATAATCGATCCAGACATATGGGTTGCATTTTTGCTATGCTTGTCATGCAAAACTTTCATTATCAAAGAAATACTTAGTAACATGAATGATTTCATACTATCATTTCTTTGGAAATATAGTGTCATTTAGCATGTATGCATTTTTGTAAAATATCATCATAACCTCTTTTAATGAATTTTCTCTTAACCTTCGTGAAGGGGGTGCCTAAGAGTGGCGCCATTGTCAATTTTTGACTTGCTAAATTGTAGGATTTCAATTTATATTTTATGTTGCTATTTATTAGCTATCTGTTTTGGTTTATTGTGGATTCAATAGTAGTTCTTTACTTCTATTATTATTCAAATCTCTTTCATTATGCTAAGCTAACTATGGTATTTAGTTGTTGCTTTTCTCCATGGAGGCTGTTCAACTTTCAAGTTTTTGCATTGCTAATAAGAGAATCTTGTCGGAGCACCATCTTTCTTCATCAACGTTAAATGCTCCTTCTCTGACAAGTTCAGGCTGGTTTATTCATGGCCGTAAGATGCCTAAGACTATTAAAGCAAAGGTATTGCTTAATTCCATGACAGTTTCTTCTATAAAAAAACATATATTTTCTATAATTAGAAGCTATATTTTTAATCTAAACTCAATGGACCATTTCATAGAGGGCTAGTTATTGATTGATTCGTCTGGATCTTATTTTTTAAACAAAAAATTTCAGCTGTTAATCATTTTTGTGATATACACTGGGAAATTTATTGTTGAGCTTCAACTTTATAGAAATTCTTAAGCATGTGGATTTGTCGATTTATGAAGATAGATATATTTTTTGCATATTAGAAGCCATTCATCATCATTAGTGTCATCATTGGTTTTATCTCAACTAGAGTCGGGTTTGATAAAAACCACTATATTACCCAATAAGTGATTCAGTTTATTAATATAGATAGAAAGTGAGGGATGGAAGGTGGATTAACTTCTAATGATATCAAGCTTTTCTTATTCTATGTTGGTAAATTTCTGCTAGATTCCTCGACTCTCACCTATGGCTGTAACTAAACAAGTCGACATGTTAGCTTGCTCGGGTTCGGCTTGATAGGTGGTTTCTGAGCTGAGCTCAATGAAGTAACAAGCCAAGCTCAAATCAGTTTCGACTCGTGTGTTAGCTTGTGAGCCAGCTTTTTTTGAATAAATATTAATATAAAATATACTCAAAATCTATTAAAATTCAAGACTATACTGTTAAATTATTGCAAATGTTTAAAAAGTTAGCTTATATTTTATATCAAGTTTTTTATTTTTTATCTTTTAATTGTTCATACAATTTGACATATTATCATAACAGTAGCTTAATATAATACTATTTTTCCTCTTGTAAAATAAACAATCCAGCTTGCGAGCCGACTCAATCTTTTAGGTTTAAACTCGAGCTTCAGTTCGAACTCAATTAATTAATCAAGACAGATCAAGCTCAAGCCGAAGATGGCTCAAGCTCGACTCAACTTGTTTACACCCTACTTTCACCTTTCTTGCAGTTTTTTCATTCTTTCAAAATTTGCGACTGTGGTCCTAATTTTTTTATTGTAGTAATTAGCCTTCATCAATGTTCTCCATTTTTAATTCATATAATTGAATTTAATTGCCCTATGAAGCAGTGTTTCAAAATTCAGATAGAGTGGGCTCTCACTAAATTTAATTGCTCTAATCTTGTCAATCTCAACCTCTACAACACTTCATGCCACCTCGCAACTTTTCGCTCCCCCATCCTCTTCTCTTTGTTTACTCTGTCCGTATCCTACTTCTTCTCCTCTGTTTATCATTCACGAAGAAGTGTTGATGGAGCTTACTGCCCATCTTCCCAATCAACAACTTCTCTCGCCATACTTGTGCAGCCTCCAAACTCACCTCTGCATTCCTCTTTCTTGTTTTCTCTCTCCCTCTCTTTCTCTCTCTCTTTTCAGCTTTCCCTCTGTTTCTTTTTCTTCTTCTATTTTTCCTTATTTTATTTGGATGAAATAATCAAAGTTGGCGATGAAGAGCAGTGTCACGTCTCTCTCTCTCTCAAAATGCTCTTATTTTCTCCAAATTAGTGAGCTTCCTCTTCGCTTTTATTCAACTACTTGTGTAATGATATAACAGTAATGCAGGCATCCTTGTTTTTTATAGTGTCTCTTTTTATCATTTTCTAACTCTTCTTCACACACACTCACATGCTCTCTCTCTCTCTCTCTTCTGTCTCTATCATCTTTTTGGTCCCTCTGTCAACTCTCGGCTTCTATCTTCTTATCTCACACTATGAAGCTTGTTTAGACACCCCTCCTTCCCCCCAACTTGATTGTGGTTGATTTTGACATATTTGTGTTAGCTCCGTTGTCCTGTTCTGATCTTCTTACATTTCTTTTCCTTTATCTTTCTTTTGTCTCTCCCTCATTACCTCTCTCTCTCTGTCTTTTCCTTACTTGCATTCTTCTTTGGACATGCTCCTTTTAAAGCAACCCTCCAAGGTGGTTTCTGTGTGTGTGCAAGGAAACATTTCGTGTTTTTAGTAGAATTGGGCTGTGAGATGCAAGTAGGGGGAAGGAAGATGGAACAAAGTTTCTTAAGCGCTTATGCATGAGGAATCCAGATCACATCTATGATAGGAATGGGTGGAGGTGGGTAACAAGGTAGATGGAGCTTTCCTTATATGTGTTTGAGGAACCAGTGTTATCCATGTTGAAAATAAAGTTCTATGATATTATCAATGATGAGAAGAGGGTTAATGATGGCATTAGGTGGAGAGAGACAGAGGAAACAACCTTCCAGTTTCTTGTATTTGAGGAACCAACACACTAATTCTTATGTTATGCATTTACATATCTCACACCTGAACTTTCATATTTACACATCCACTTTCGTGCTTCAATTCCTGTGCATAAAAAGGTGTATTTCATTTTTAAAAAGTGATAATACTGCTATTTTTGATGTGATATTAAAATTTTGAATGCTATGTGTGTAAATAGGGAAGTTTAGGTTTGAGATATGTAAATAGATAAGAAATGTGTACTATGTATGTAAATGGCCCCACCAAACTAAAAGAAAAAGATGGAGCGTTGGAGGCAGGCAGCAAAGATGTGAAGAGGTGGGTTGGTTGAGAGGGATGGAGTGTGGAAGGGGAGGGAAAGAAAAAAGTGGGTTCTGCAGTAGGGTTAACATTGATAGGGCATATATCTCTTTGGAATGTGGTATTTTCCAGGACTTAAATTCTTGACCCAAGACTACATAATGAATAGCTAGCAGCCGTTGGCTTTTGTTTATGCTTTTACAAGAAAGATAGTTATGAGGTTGCCCACTTGCCCTTGTAAGATAATTGAGTTTTCTATTCTCCATATATTTTTGAAATCATATTCCTATTTCTGTATCTTAAGGATTGGGAAATTGTTATATTTTTTATTTGATACATTTTATGTTACCGTGCATTCAAGAGCATTCATACCGTGCGTTCATGCCCATTTAAGCATATTAAAATGTAGATCCCTTGTGAATTAACTCCTTGTCTTGTGAGATTAGTTTGTTTTCTTTCTGGTTTGTCCAACATTATTAAGAATTAAAGATCACGAGCATTATCTAGCCAGTTCTTTTTACTTAAAACAAGAAATGAAAAAAAAAGAAAAAGGTTTTTACTTTGAAGCCCATTTAAGCATATTAGCTTGATACTAAATTAGTTTTCTTTATTTCTAGACATCTATCTCTATGCGCCTTAATGGAAATAGCACGAGAATTCCGGGTTATGAGGAAAATACTGTTTTAAAATTCAAAGGTTCTTCAGAGAAATTTGGGGATGATGATATGAAGCCATATTCAACTCTAAAATCGAGTGATGAAAAAATAGGAGCAGATCTGGATGTACTTCAAGATAGTGTTGTTGAACAAAAGGGTTATGCAAAAATACACGATTTTTGCTTAGGAATCCCCTATGGTGAGTGCTTACCTACCACATGTAATTTTTTTCCCTTGATTCTCTGCCATGTTAATAGTATTTTATTATCTGGTTTATTCTATTCTATCATTTTATTTGGATGGAAAAACTAATATGAGAGGATTTGCAAATCAAATACATTATTTTTTCTTGTTTTATTATTATAGTTCTGAAAGCAACCTCCATTTTTGTTTATTTGAAGTTCATTGGTCATTATAACAAATGAAATTTAATGATTATATGCCAGGAGAAATCTTTATCTGATATGATTTCTGGGGACAAAAGAAAACTTATTTTACATGATCTGAGTCTACTAATAGCCACTGAATAAGGGATGGGTCTTGGAAATAATTTGTTCTATTTCTAGTGACAAATTTAGACCATTATTGTCTAGTGTTGCAAGCAGCAATGGCTGTTTTAATTTTAGTAGTTTCTAATTAAATTGATTGCTTCAATCAAGATTTACAATTTTTATTTTACTTATAAATTGCTGCAATTTTTTTCTCAGCAATTTTTTTTGCGGGGTATTTACTTACATAGAACCCAATGCTTAGGTATTTACATATCACACATCTAATTTAAAAATTCACAAACATAATACTCAAATCTTTAATATCATATAAAAAATTGCACTATTATAATTTTTTAAAAAATAAAAGACTTATTTTTGTGCATAGATTTGAATCTTAAAAACTAGTTAAAAAGGATACATGTAGTGGACACCACATAGTGGGATTAAGGCTTTGTTGTTGTTGTTGTTGCTGTTTTATAGATTTGAAACATAAAAGCACTATGTATGTAAATATGATAGTTTAGGTGTGAGATATGTAAATACATAAGAATTGCGTGCTATGTAAATTTCCATTTTTTTTTCCTCTTTCTATATTTTTCTGTACGCCCTGCAGGGATTGCCTTGTTCCATTTTCTTAATAACTCTACATAACCGATGAAGAAATCTGTAATTAACATTCTAATTACATGTGGTTCAGGTGGTCTGTTGTTTGGTGGCGGGCTTTTTGGTTTTCTTTTCTCCAGAAACCCAGTTAGCCTAACTACAAGCATGCTAGGGGCTGGTATAATAGTCTTGGCAGCCATTAGCCTGAAGGTCTGGAGAAAAGGACTGTCCAGCTTACCATTCATGTTAGGACAAGCAGGTACCAAAATATAATCATTACTTATTGTCTAAATAAAAAGAGAATGATTTTTCTTCTAATTTTCTTCTTAACCATGGAGTTGAAGTAAATCTGCCATTCCATTTTTTTAAATTTATTTTCAATCAAAATATTCTTCTCAGTTTCCGCTATGATGGATATGTCGTATCCACAGATTGGGAAAATGATAGTTTTAAACAATGTTCCTCACTGTTTCATCTATAGTTCTCATTAATCAACTTCTAGAGAGCTTTTGTTATTCAGTAATTTGCAGGCAGTGATTTCTCTTTTTTAATCTCAATAATTTGTTCTTTTAATTCATGCTCAATTTTTTGTTTATTTTGGCTGTACTGCAGCCATTGCTGCTACTCTTCTTGTGAAGAATTTCCAGTCTTATTCCTTGGTAAGTGATGCTATATGCAATTTGTCTTCCGCTTCTTTGTAATCTGTGATCTGCTTTTAATGTACCCCGCTTATCTTTAACAGACAAAGAATCTCTTCCCTTCTGGGCTTTATATTTCTATGAGGTAATACTTAACCTGGTTTAGGGTTTTATCATGGAATTTGGGTACTTTAAATTCTAGTAGATAACCGGTTGTTTTTTCTTGAAAAAATGCAGTGCTGCAATGCTTTGCTTCTATTTTTATGTGGTAATCTCCGGAGGAAACCCTCCACCAAAGAGGAAGCTCGCAGATGCGCAGTCCCGTTAGTCCCAAATTCTTCTTCTTCCCTGTTTTTCACCTGAGATCTCTCTTTTTTCTTAATACCTTAAATTGCTATTACTTTGCATTATTCTTAATATCAAAAAAGAAAAAAGAAAAATGTTGCAGTATCATTATAGAGCGATTCCAGTCAAGTAAAATAACTTTGTAACGAAGATTCTCTAATAGTTACTAAGTATGGGAATGTATAAACTAATATAAGGGGAAATAAAGTAGTTTATTCAAGTTACACTATTTCAATCATCATCATATATAGTCTGCTCGTAGCTTGTGCAAAGCTTGTTTACTAATTTCCCAAATGAATTATTTGTGAAGATCTCCATTGAACAGAGTTTATGAAATCTCTGAAGCCTGGCGTTCTTCAAACTGCGCTAGATTCACTGATTTCTTTGTACATTACTATCAATTTATGATGATAGAGGTCTTGTTAATTTAGACTCCCCTCTCTGTTATTTCTGATATCCTTAAGTTAGCATAATTTGATGGGCATTTTATTAGAATTACTTGGAAATTTCAAAAACTGATATTTTAAAATTTTTTTTTTCTAAGCAGCACTTTAAAAAAAATTATAAATTAATGTTGTCGCAATTGTAAGTGATGACAATGCAATGATGCGCAGTGATGTTGTCATTTAGAATGACATGTTTCATATATATTTTTTAATTACTGTTAGTTAAATAACATCTTAAACCTTCTATTTAAAAATAAATATAGATATTTTAGTGTGGCGGCAATGCTTGTTTCATTTAAAAAAAGAAAAGTGTATTATTGTTTAATGTTTTTTTGGATAAAACTTAAACCTTATTTTTAAATGTAAAAATGTTGATATTTCGAGTTTAAATAATATTTAATTTATTATATATAATATTAATTTAGCTTTGAATTAAATTTTGGGTTAGTGGGTACCTTAATAAAAGATGTTATTTTTGTTACTTTTTCTTCGTTCATTTAGATCTTAATAAAAGATGTTATTTTTGTTACTTTTTCTTCTTTCATTTAGAATTGTTGTTTATACCTAATTTTGGCTATGGGTAGCCTCATGTATTTTTGGTAGTTGTCGCATGTGATACATTTGTACTTTTTTTTTTTTTAATACATTTGCAGTTTGAATATATATACTTGGAACTCTTAAAATGTGAGGTGTGTAAAAATATCTCCCTCTTCCCATTCATGTGTAAAAGGTTAAGTGCGAGTGATTTTAGGGTTTTGAAATGTGTGAGTGTGACTAAGACCAAGCCACATAGGGTTGCCCTAAGGTCCCACTGATCTTATTGGAACTCATCCATTAAGTTTTCACATGTTGGTCTTAACCATATCAAGTGAGAAACGAGGGCTTAAGACCACCCTTGTGAGACTTTATAAGAAGAGTCAAGAAACGTTTAAAATTTATATGTGGCAGGGCTCCATTACTAGTCCTCTGGAATAGTCAACAGGAAAATTTTATAGCTAGATTCTAAGCTTCTAAAAAGGAGAAACTAGACCTCATAAAAAAATGAAGTCAACAGTACGACATACATATGACATTTCAGAATGACACCATAGGAAGTGAAATGTTGCAATTTTCATTAAAGAGAATTAAGCTCTGAGTGGACACATGAGCATATGGGAATACAGGTTCAAGCGCAGACCTCAAGTACGCAAGACATGAACATACAAGATGTTATGCAAGAAAACCTGCAAGGGTGCGAAAATACAAATACAAACACATAAGAGGTGGTGCACAGTGACATATGAGGATTTCAAGAAGTACGAGGTATTTTGCCCAAGCGGGGCACGAATACCCACTATGTGCATATGAGGACATATGCTCACAAGTGTAAAACAGCTCGAGCCGGTGACAGTCAATCGATCGTACCGATGGAAGTTGTCGATCGAACGAATCGACTTAAAACTTATCGATTGACCAATCAGACCAGTGTCAGCCTATCAATCATCTCGAAGGAAAAGTGGTCAATCAATACGATCAGGCCAATGGTGGCCGAGCAACTGAGTCGATGAAAAAGTGGTTGATTGGCCAATCGGGCCGGTGGTGGCCGATCAATCATATCGATAGAAAGTGGATGATTGACAGATGAGGTCGGTGGCAGCTGATCAATCATGTTGGCAGAAACTGGTCGATCGAGCCCTTGTAGGCAGCTGATAGACAACACTTGCAAACAAAGATATTTTAATGAAAATTTTAAAATCATGTAATGCATGCAACGTGGATGCAAATACATGCAAATTGAAAATCTAATCGTATTTGATGGCAAGTTGGACTCATCCTACTGATCTCATTGGGGTCTAGGTAGGATAATAGTGAAGTATATCAACCAATCATCACGCGGAGCTACAAAAGAACCACCTCTATTTGCCCGACATGAAAGATTTTTGTTGAGGAAACTTTCATGGCATCGGAAACATCAAAATCATGAAGTTTTTTGTTCTCTAGGTCCAAGAAACAAGTTTCATTCTTCTTATCATTGAAAACAAAACCACCGACACACATGCTAGATTGGTACAATCCCAACTTTAAGATTTTGGACTAAGGTTGTGGAGAACCTCTCATGAATCGTAGGGAATCGCAAAAAACTCCTAACCTATGAGGCTTCCTCTAACACATAACCCATCATATCATCTCTAACACAAAACCTAGAGCTTTGCTAGAAAGAAAAGATAAAGGTTTAGAGAAGTTTCTCACCTGAAGCATTCTCTAGGCTCGTCCAAGCTCCTTCACAGTAAGGATGACGAAGTCATCGTTATTCTCCTTCTCCAAAGTCATAAAGGAGCTCTCCTTACCGGAGAGGATAACAAAGCGGCCGAAGCTTTCTTCTCTAAAGTTAGGAAGAAGCTCTCCTTGCCGGAGAGGATAACAACATTTGTTTCCTTCTGGATGCCTTCCCAACCTCAACTCACGGAGAGTTTTAGGATAGGAAGGAGAGGACAGTGGAGAGAAGGAAGAGAGGAGAAGAAAGGGGAAAAGCTCGTTTCTCTGGTGTTCTTCTCCTTGAGAAAGATGAATACTCCCTCTCAAGACCCCTGGAAGTTCTCTATTCGGTTGATTGTCTGAGATCTCAAATGCCAGTCGGTCCTTCGATTCGTTTTGCCCTTGGGGAGATATCCCTTGGCTCAAGCAAGAGGTGACCACTTGCTTCATAAGAAAAGGGCCATGTTTACTCCTGATGCCATTTTGGGATTAAGATCCGGGCAAAAGTTGCTTATTTTGCAGTTAAACAACGCTAATGGCGGAAATCCGGGGACTGACAGAGCGAAACAGTGCAAACTAGGTGAACTTGCGTGGTCACAACAAGAGTTAGGTGTGGCTACACTTACCCAAAAGTGTCACATATGGGATTTGGGTGTGACCACGCTCGAGAGCAAGTGTAATTACACCAGAATCTCTGTCCGGCCAGCGTGGTCACATCGACATCGAGTGTCATTGCACTAGGTGGAAGGTGTCACGCACACCAGAATCTCTGTCCGGCCAGCGTGGTCACATCAACATCGAGTGTCATTGCACTAGGTGGAAGGTGTCGCGCCTAGGGGTGTAAACAAACCAAACACGAACGAACAGTGCTCGTGTTCGTATTCGGTTCGTTTGAAATATAGTTTGTTTGAAATAGACTCGTGTTCAAAATTGTTCATGAAATGCATGTTCGTGTTCGGTTTGATTTGCTCGAAATTAGTTCAAATTGTTCGAATTATTTGGATATGTTTGAAATGTTTGAAGTGTTCTGAATGTTCGAGTTCGAATTGTTTGAAACATTCGAAAAATTTCAATTTTTTAATATTTTTTGAATTGTTAAATAGACAAAAAATTAAATATTAATTCTCATATCACATCAAAAAATGCCACCATTTTAACTTTTAAAAATTGAAATAACTCTAAATAAAATATATAAAAATTATTAATTAATTCTCAAATTACCAAAAACAATAAATAAAAAACTTCAACAAAAACATCTCTTCATCATTAGTCAGACAGATAATATCTTACACAAAAAGATAATGTTCAAATTGTAAATTCAGTTCAATTCTCAGAGCTCTGTGAATTTGAAATCAAATTTCAAATTGTAAATTCAGTCTGCATTCACTTCTCTCAATCTCCTATACACATATTTACTAATTACTACAACTATAATAAATTTCTTTGGCCATGGAAATATCATCACTAACTTTCTGTCACTAAATATTCACAACGATAAAGAAAACAAATGCTGAAGCCTTTCTGACATTCCAATTGTAAGAAAATGAACAAATCAACTTCAGCTTCAGACAAATGTAAATGTCTAATACATATACATGTATGTTACGGGTAAAGAGAATCCGCTTTTATAATTTCTTTCCAAAACCTCATCAAGTCTGTAATTGAAGTGTCCAACCAACTCACCAAGTATCTAAAGCAAAAAAATATTTTAGTTAAGAGACAGCAGAAACTAATCCAAACCATCAAATAAAACCAACATTATGACTTAGATAAGGAAAGTTCTTATATGTACAAGTAGACAAAAAAAAAATCACTTAGCTACAGATGGCTCCTTCAAGATTCATTTTGTACCATGAGATACAAATTTTTATGCATAAATAATAAAATACCACATATAACAACATGTTAATTTGAAGCTACTCACCCATGTAAGCTCTTCCAAAGCTTCTTCTTCTCTCACAGCAAAAAAAGGCTAGCTGCATGTATAGATAGATGAAAAATAAAATGAGTTTAACTTTCATAAAGTTTTCATAAATATTATTTATACTTAATACTTCCCTGCCAAACTTCAATATGCATAAGCCATTTTCTGCACCACAATTAAAGACATAAATATTGCACCCAAATAGATTATAGAAATAAAACTAATCAGCCATAATCAGTTTATCCACTAGAAACAGAGCCACCATAGTTCTGCTCTTCCTGCAAGGTTGCACCAAATCAAAGCAATCAAATGAACCTTAGCAGAACTGCAAGTTTAGCTTTAATGCAGTTTTCCATTGATTAATAACTCGTATACAATAATGGTGATGTACTGTTTAGAAACAGAACTGAATTTGGCCTCATCTTGTAGTGTGCTAAGTTCAAAGATGCACCAAGAACTAAATCAATTTGATGTTGAAATGGCCATATGAGTAGAAGTTGGCTGGGCAATTTGAATGGGGGCAATATCTTCAAATAGTTTTAACAATTACTGCATTTTAGAAGGTATTCATTATTACTTGTATTTTGCTATGAGAATAAGAAAGTAAAGACTACAGAATCTTCCTTCTAGTTTGAAACAAATCGTGAACCAGGAACACACAAAAAAGTTGTGTTATAATATTGTTCCCAGAGTTTACTATTAGTCGGCAACAACAATATTATGACCTTTCCAATTAAAAATACAACCCAACCGAAACAATGAAAGGGAGAGAGGAAAACAGCCCTCTCACCAATTTTGGGAGTTGTGACTTCCTTGGA